AGAAAAGACTTGATCAGAGAGTTCACAAGAGTATATCCAACTAGCAAGCAAACATATGAACAATGGAGCTCAATTTCATGAGGGAAGAAAGGCAAACTAAAACCACCATGTGATACACCAACACAGCAATGGGACTAAAATGAACAGGATGGAAACACGAACTCTCGGAGAGAATGTGGCTCAATCAGAACCAGACCCACGCCTGTGGGCAATGACTTGACGGTGTCCACTAAAAGTGAACATACGCGCTCCCCTGTGACCCAGGCAATTCCACGCTCAGGCATATGCCCCACAGAAATGCATCCCTGTGTTCCCCAAAAGTCACGTTCTAGAGTGTTCATAGCAGCACAAGACATAGAAAACTGGCAGCTACCCGTGAGCCCATTAATAGCAGTGAATAAACACGTTGTGAAATGATCACATAACAGAAAACCACAGCAATGAAAATAAACCATCTACAACTACACACAATAATCTGGATGTCTCATAAACACCAAGGTGAGCAAAAGAAGCAGAAACGACAAGAGGTCACCTGCAGGATTCTGCTGTCATAACGCAGGAAAAGGCAAAAGTCATCCACGCTGGTAGCATTCAGGGTGATAGCAGAGGGGACGGACGGCATGGGAACATGGAGGTAGATTCTGGGGTGCCGGGTACCGTAATATGTTCAGTTTGTTAAAATTAATCGAGCTGTATCATTACCATATGTGCACTTTTCTATATGTAAATTATACTTCAATAAAAAGCTTTTATTTTAAGTGTACAGTGTCCTAAAAATGGAAAGTGCCTTTTTTTTTTTTTTAAGGCGAGGAACTAAGAACGGAGACCAGGTGCCTGAATTCCCAGGAGGCATATAAATAGGGCTGAGAGAGGGGCGCCTGGGTGGCTCAGTTGGTTGAGCGACTGCCTTCAGCTCAGGTCATGATCCCAGACTTCCAGGATCGAGTCCCGCATCAGGCTCCCAGCTCCTTGGGGAGTCTGCTTCTCCCTCTGACCTTCTCCTCTCTCGTGCTCTCTCTCACTCATTCTCTCAAATAAATAAATAAAATCTTTAAAAAATAATAAATAAATAAATAAATAGGGCTGATAGAGAAAAGCCCGATGTTAGGGCATCAGAGGAGAATCTGGAGCCCCAGCCTCCATAGCTGGCCCCTTCTCAAACAGCTGCCTCCCAAGATTCAAGGCCTAGAAGACAGAGGCTGAGATCATACACTGACCGCCCCATATGCTTCCCTCCGAGGCAGAACCCCCCATTTCCATTTCCATAAGGGGCATGATTATGCCATCCTGCAACCCTGCAATGTCACCCCTTCCCCGCTCCCTGATCACTTGCTTGTGCTGCAGCAGACCCAGACTGTACTAAACCTGCCAGAGCCAATCCAGAGACCCTTGATGGAATCACTGGTAGATGTGGCGAGAGAGGCCCTGAGCTGGCAGGAAAGAAGTGGAGAGCTGTTGGCTCCCCATCTTTGCCAGCCCATGGGGAGAAGCTAGCCCAAGAATGAAGCAGAAAGTGGAAGCAAAAGAGGGAAGCAGAACTGAAAAACGAGAGCCAACCTCTCGAGATCTTGGAACACCTAGATCAAGAGGTTCCTGAAGGTCACATCCTAAATTTATTATGTAAGCCGGTGAATTCTGCTTCGCTAAAGCCAGCTTGAGTTACATCTACCATTTATGTCACTATGAAGTACATGTCCTTTCACTGCTCCCCAGAAACCCGTGTGCACTCTCAGAGACTAAAATGGGCATGATAGGGGGGCCTGGATGGCTCAGTCAGTGAAGCATCTACCTTCAGCTCGGGTCACGATCCCAGGGTCCTGGGGTCGATCGAGCCCTGCACTGGGCAGCAGGGAGTCTGCTTCCTCTCTGTCTCCCTCTGCGCCTCCCCCGTGCTCGTGCTTGCTTGCTCTCTCTCTATCTCAAACAAATAAATAAATAAATAATCTTTAAAAAAATAAAATAAATAAAATAAAATGGGCCTAATAACTCTCCATGCTAACTGCACCCTTCCTGATGTCGGAACACAGTAAACCTTTCAAACCACTTCAATACCCATCAATCCATTCCTTTGTCACAGAATTGCCCAGCGAGATAGGGTGCAGGTATCACTACCCCATTTTCCTTGCCACCCCAGACTTTTCGAGAACTGGCAAGGATGTCTGAACCATCTAATTGCGTCCTCTTGCTCCAACAACCAGAAGAAAGGCACAAAGAAAGTAGCAGCAGCCAGCATACGACTAGAGTATAATAAAACTTCGCAGAGCTTTTAAGTTCCTCCAAAGGGCCAAGAGAATCATGATGAAGACTCTGATGAAGACTTGAGAATCTGGCTTTCATCCCTACGCATAAAGGGAATCCCATCAGATCCACATCCTGCCATTATAACAAATAACATCGGGGACCATTCACCAAGTACCCATCAGCCAATATAATGCTAAGCCTTCATTCAATCTCATCCTCTTTTGAGGTAGATTCTGCTACTAGCTCCATTTTGCAGATGTGAAAACTGAGGCTTGGAGTAAATGACTTGCCCCAAATCGGTCAGCTGGCAGAGCTAGGCCTCAGACTGAGGCTGTCCAACAGCAAACGCCCTGGGTAGGGCTGAGGCACCGAAATGGGTTGTCGGTGCCAAGACTTAATTTTGGGGGTCCATCGTCCCATCTTCTGCACAGTGTTGGGAAGTCTGCCCCTTCTGCTCTGATGTTCATCTCCTTCAGCTTTCTAGAATCCAGCTTTACCTAAGATTCCACCACCCACCATCACCAGCATCTCCTTCTAGCCCGTGGGTCCTCCCTTCCAAGTACTTGGGGTCAATTATTCCAGCTGGATTATCTGACACAACCCCTGGCCAGCCAGCTGTCTTCACCCACGGCCACCCGAGTCGGCTTTTATGAAAAATCGTATCACAGCACTTCATCCCCACTAGGACGGCGATCCTCAAAAAGACAGGCAATAACGAGCTTTGGTGAGGATGTGGAGAAACTGGTGCCCTTGTACGTTGCTAATGGGAATACAAAACGGCCAGCTGCTTTGAAAAAGTCTGGCAGTTCCTCAGGTTAAATATAGTTACCATATGACCCAATTACCCAGGTAAGGACCCAAGAGAAAGGAAAACGTATGTCCGCACAAAAACTCGTACACAAGTGCTCACGGCAGCATTATTCCATCACACAAGAGATGGAAACAACCAAAACATCCATCACCTGGCAAACGGATAAACAAGACTGGGTGGATACACGCACGTCCAGTGGAATCTTGTTCATCCATAAAAGAGAACGAAGCCCGGGCCCCAGTTGTCACATAGATGAACCTCAAAACTGGGAGGCTGTGGGAAAGAGGCCAGTCACAAAAGCCACACGGTGTGTGATTCCACTTACACGAAATGTCCAGAATAGACAAACCCACAGAGGCAAAAAGCACACCCCTGGTTGTCGGGGGTTGACTGTGTAGGTGATGCTCGTTCTGAAATCCCATCGTGGTGACCGACAGCCGCATGACACCATATATGCACTCAGGGCGCTGAGCTGCACACTCTAGAGTGGTTAAAGACTGAGTTTCCTGCTGTATGAATTTTATGTCAATTTAAAAAAAAAAATTTTCACCCTCTCCCAAAGAAAATGATCGGATAGCTTAGTGACCCCTGTTGCCCTCCTTTAAAACTCCTCATTGGCTTCCCATCACACCAGGCATCCACCCCAAATTCCCTGCCAGGGCCTCTAAGGCCCCACATGGCCCCAGCCCTGTGACCTCCCCCATTTCCTTCTACTTTCCCCCTTACTCCTACTCTCCCCCCACCTCCTGGCCTTCGCCCTGGCCTGTCCCTCAATCTGGCACGTTCTTTCCCACAGCTGGCTTCTCATCAGTCAAGTCTCTGTCCAAATGTATAAACACACACACACACACACACACACACACACACACACACACACACGGCCCTCTCTGACTGCCTCATCTAAAATACAGCTCCCAGGGGGTCCTAGGTTCCTCAGTTGGTATCCTATTAAGCATCGGCTCCTGATTTTGGCTCAGGTCATGATCTCAGGGTAATGAGACAGAGCCCCGAGCAGGGCTCTGCACTGGGCGTGGAGTCTGCTTAAGATTCTCTCTCTCTCCCTCTCCTTCTGCCCCTCTCCCACCCACAGGTGCACACGTGCGCTCACGCTCTCTCTAAAAACATAAATAAATAAGAATTTAAAAATAAAATAAATACAGCTCTCATCAATATCTCATCAATATCCCATCAATATCCCATCAACAGCTCCATCCCAATGTCCTGCTTTATTTCTTCATAGGCCTAATGACCTTCCAAAAAGATACAGACTTTTTTTAAAAAACTGTTTACTTCTCTGTTGCCTTGTCACTCCAAGCAAGAGGAGGGGGATCTGGTCTGTCACGCCCACAGCTCTGAACATGCCTGCCATGAAGGACCTAATTGAGAAACACCTCCGGAAAGAATGGGTTTATCCAAGGACTTCCATAACACCTGAAATGCCACCTGCTACCTGGTCAGGTGTCCGGACCCCTAAGGGATCAGCCACACTCTGCAGGTGCTCAGGGAGTTAATGAGCATTTTCTGGTTAGAGTGGCAAACCCCACCCTAGACTTGTCTAGAACCCCGAGGAAGCAGGAAGAATGATCCCGCCCCTTGAAGTCTGAAAGTCTTTCAGGGGTCACAAAGCACCCAGTGTTTACCCAGCAACCCACAAACAAACACAAAGGAGAGATCTAAGATTGTGTTGCTGATGGAGGCTAGGGTCCAAACTGGCCTCATAAAACCGCGCACTGGCAAACACCCTTCCATACGGTTTCTCACGACTGTGCAATCTGACCTATTCTCCAGAACGAGACGGTTGCAGCTCGCACCTGCTCCTGCCTCTTCCCACGGAGACTTTCTTTTCAGGGGCAGTTAAAAATCTAAACAGGCGGGTGGTAGAGACCTCCTGCCCCTTGTCCTCCCTACTTTTGGCATTTCTGAGCTGCTCACACAGCAAGCAACTTACCCACTAGGAGTTTGACATCTCGGACTGTGAAATCGGGGTCAGGCATCCTGGAAAAAGAGGAGTACAGGCGTTTGCTGAGAGGACAGAGACAACAGAGTTTGACCCAACTCTGGGGGCCGGGGAAGGCCATTTTCCAAGAGGGTTTTCGCTCTTCCTTGCTCTCAGTTTGGGAACCCAAAATGACAACATCCAGAGGGAGAGTGATAGACCAGTCAATGTCCCAAGGGAGGGTCACTCTCCAATCCCTGAGCCCTTTCCTCATCCCGGTAGGCAAGCCAACCCCCTCACTCTCCCCGATATGAACTCAACACTGCTGCAGAAAAGATGCAGCACCCCACTCTTCAGGGGAAGACTGAATTGTGGTGTCAAGGGTAAGTCCCAGAGCTGGGCATTCAAACACCTGCATTCTTTTAGGGTGGGCAGCTCTCTCTGTGTCTCTTCTTCTAGCAAACACTCGCCATAAAAGGAATTGTATGGAGGGCTGCAGAGATCCCTTTAAGTTCAAAGGGAAAAAAAAAAAGACACACATCATTCCAATTCCAAGGATCTGGTAACACCGGCTATAAGGACAGTGATGACCTTCGCTATTAATTAACAGTGATGTCAAAGGTTTGATTTCTACCCGAGGAACGAGGAACGAGACTCTTGAGCAAGCCTGGCAGGAGAGGCTGGGGAGGAGACAAGCAGGGATGATACCAGCCGGCTCCTCTCCACCCCTGCCCAAGGGACGGAAACCTGTTCTTCCAGCCTTCCTCCCGGATCTCTCCCCCACCCCACCTGGAGCTCTGACAGATCTCTAAGAGAATGTAAACCAAACAAGACACAGTGGGGGAGGCAGGTGCTGGGGTAGGCAGAGAAACAGACTTGGAGCCTAGCATCAGAGGAACAGGCCCTCTACAGAAAAGAACCAATTTCCCACACAGTGGGAGTCTGAGTAGAAAAATATGTTTTTAGGTGTCCTGCCTCTGGGCTTAGTGACTGGCCAATCCCTTCACAGCTCAGGCCCTGCCTCAGTTTCCTAACTTGGGAGGGGGACACAATTCTCCTTAGGAACCCACTACATGTAACTGGGGTGAGTCAGGGAAAAAAAGTCAACACTGTTTAAGTACCCTCTGTCCTCTCTGCCCAAATTCTCTGAAAAAGACCAATCTTTGGAGAGCTTTTCCCCTTTGTCAGGCCTTGAACGAAGAGATACTCTCCCCATACAAGGAAGAAAGATCCTTCTCTGTGACGAAAGGTGGGGAGAAGGGAAGAAGAAAATCTACCAGGGAGAGAGACATGGGAAGACGCAATTCGTTTCGCCAACTTACTTAATCCCCAGTCCATCCTTTTCTCGAAATATCAGGGGAACCCTGAGAGCTTCTCTCTGCACGTATTCATAGTTGAAATCTGTTTGGATATTGGAATTAAAACAGCTTGGTTAAGTCAGGAAGGAGCAGATGAGCCACGAACGATCGGTCGGAGGAAAGAACATGGGTTATAAGGTTCTACCAGGCTCCCTCGCTAGGGCAAGCGATCCCCGTCCAATGACAAGGAAACGGAGCAGGCCCAGGCCATGCCAACTATCAGCTCCTCTGCCTACTCAGTCATTCCCCGTATGCCCCACGGGTCAGAACTTGTCAATGAACAGCCCAAGGCCAGGGAGGCTGGGGAGGGAGACTCACGAAAGAGCCCCGCACAGAAAAGGCCCCAGCCATCGCTGAGAAAGACGGACAGAGAAATGCACCCCAAGCTGAGCTCAGAAAGTAAAGGCAGTGCAAAATCCAAGAATGCCACCTGGGAGGATCTGAAGCCCCAGAGAGGGGGCTGGGAAGAGGGTTCTCATTGTAGCTGAGCATCGGGGAAGATCTTATTGTAATATCCTGCATAGTGAAGGGGAGTGGGGGGGGAAGCTGGTTTCCCTGGAAACTGTGTATTTGGTGCCAAAATAACTAGAGAACTGGGCACAGCTTTGTTGTCTTAATAGTGTAATTCTGCTCCAGCTACTGCCATCCTGTCTCCACCGGGGAACAGACCCGGACTCTCCCCCCAGGTGAAGACAGGGTGAAGGGGGGCACAGTGAGGCCCAAAGCCAATTCACAAGGTAGTGCTCCGTCTCGGGCTTGTCTAGCATAGACCCCCAAATCCCTTATCGAAAGCCCCGAAGAGTGAAGGAGGCCTTCGTTTCAATGTTCCTCGAGTTCCAAAACCAGGGGATCTGACCCAACCTTACCCCAAAATATGGAATGGAGGGAGGCTGAGATAAACCATCACATCCCCAAATCCTCAGGTGAACCAAAGCAATCCACACGGACACAAGCCCTCCCTGGCAGGTCAGAGGAGAGACAGGAGAGACCACAGGCCACGGGAGCCCCTGCCCCAGGGAAACGGTTCATCAGGGCAGCTCAGTGGGGGAGGAGGCCAAGGCGACTCTACTCAGAGCAGAGGAAGAGAACAAAACCAGAGCTGGGGAAAGCCCTGACCTTAGCAGCTCAGATCCCCAGGGGCTCACAGTGAATGGGGATTCCTAAGGATTTAAAGGCAGAGAAGTTTAAGAAGCTTCTATTTTGAATCCAGGCTAAGGGCTCCTTCTGTTTCTAGCTCCTCCCTCGAAGTTTTGGGGCCAGATCTGAATTAACTACCAAATCGCTAGGGCCCTCTCCTTTGAAAAGAGCCTGGACAGATTTAAAGGCTCTCCCTAGCTGGAAGCCACCCCCCACGCACCCACACCCATACCCAAAGCCCGCCCCCCACCCCCACTCTCCTCAGCTTCAACTTCCTCAAATGAGCTTGAGAAAACACTCAGATCTTGGGCTGAGAATTCCTCACCAATGACTAGGAAGAGTTTGCATGTTGTTTTCTCATAGGATCCACCAAACTCAGTAAAATGGGAAGGAAACCAAAGGAATTAAAATCCCATTTGCGCTAAGGAAATTTAAATGCAGTGAGACTAACACCACCCCCCCCCCAGACCCTCTGTGTCAAGGTGCAACGCGCTCTTCGATTTTCACTCTTCGGACCTGGCGGGCTGGAATAAATGTCTTGTTCCCTCCCCCAACGACTACCCCCTACCACTGAAGCCCTGCACCCCAGGAAGCAGTGGGCACAAAAGAGAAACTTCAAAAATGCAAAGCCAGGACTGTCTCTTCTGGGGGCTAAACTACAGCCCCAGGCACTCAACCAGAACCTGGAGGGGGAAGCACTGTCCCCCTTGTCAGCTCACTGAGGGATGGAAGGTTTTCCAAGGGGCACAGGGGAGTCAACAAAATGAAAACGGTGTATTATAAAGGAAACCTGAATATCTAAGAGGAGGGGAAAAAAAAAAACAAAAAACAACTTAGAAACCCCAGAGAGAGCCCAGGGAAATACCTAGGTAGGCAGGGGCATCTCCAAAACCCCAACCCCACAGGCAGAACCACAGGTCACATGGGGCCTCTGGAGGCCTCAGACCCAAGCCAGAGCATCACCCCAACATTGGCAGGACAGCACCAGACACCTTTCTAATACTAGGGTCAGGGAGAAACTCAGGTCCTGAAGGTCTCAGGCTGGGATGGGACCCCAAGACCTCAGAGGTTTCCCCAACTTCTCTAAACTGGCAGGGCCTATAAGGGCCAGTGCTCTCAAGGTCTCAGGCTGAGAAGAGACTTTGTTCCCCAGAGGGGTACCCCCATTTTCACTTCAAACCACAGGGGTCAGGGATCTCAGCCCCAAGCCTGAGGGAGTAAAACTCTTCTTATCCCCAGTCCCTACTTCAAACTGTCAAGGCTGGAGGGTCAGAGGCCTCAGGCATAATTATGTGGGGGCACCAGCCAAAAGCTCTGAAACTCATCCAGCCCCTGCTCAAATCTGGAAGAGACCAGAAGGTTACAGGGTTCCGCAGACCCCAGGAGCTGAGGAGTCATCATTCAGGGACCCCAGCATCCCCAGCACCAGCTCTTAACTGGCAGGGCCTGACATGGGACGGGGTTCGCGGGAGGCTTCAGGCCTAGGGGGGTCCTCATCCCAAAGCCCCAGGGGCACCTGAGCCCCTCTCCCAGTCAGGCAGCCGCACCTCATCCAGCACAAGGAGCCGGGCTAGCTCCGGGAGGGGTAGAATGCGGCGCACCCGCCCTCCCTCCGTCCACCCGTCAGTCCCCAGGTCCCTCGGACCGCTGGTCCCCTGGCTCTGCCCACCCTGCGGCCGCCTGTGGGCGCCGGCGGGGTCTAGGCCCACGCCCGGCCCCCGTTCCCGCCTGCCCTCCTCCTTCGCCACCCCACCCCACCCCCCCAGTGCTCGGCCTCGTTTCGTCACCGGATCCCCTGGAATGGGGGACGCGGGCGCGAAATACGAACCCAGCCACCAGCAGCTCCCTCCCCACGTGCGCTCGGCCCGCGGCGCGGAGGGCAGCCCGAGGAGGGGGCGCCTCACCTTTGCCCTCCATGGCGTGCACGAAGTCCCCCTGGTACAGCTGACTGCGCAGCTTCTCCTCCAGGCTGAAGCCGCGGACGCTGACGATCTCCTCCACGTCCGACAAGTCCTCGTTCTCGTCGTATCTCTGGCGGTCAATCGGACGCTGCGGGGACCCAAACCAGAGAGCCCGAGGCATTATTGGGGGAACTGGGGGTCGCCTCTTACCCTAGGCCCAGCTCAAGCAGGTGCAGGAGTTGCGCGCCCCCCGCACCCCACCACTGCGACCTGAGCAACTTTGCGCAAATGCCAAAGATGCTGAAAATCAAGATAACGAGAGGGGCCCGCACCCCGGGGTCCGGCAGTGCCCTACGCAGGACACTCCCCTCCTGCATCTTTGGAGGCCGTGGAAAGGACATCTGGGGGGCTCTCCCTGGCTCCCCCACCCCCGATAGGTGTTGAGTTTTGCCCACTCGGCCGGGAGCCTGGTTATGTAACCCGCGAAGGGGGCTCCGCGCACGGGCTGGCGGGGCATTTGTAGGCCCCGGGAGGAGCCGCCGCAGAGCCCTGCTCGGCGCTAACAGTAGCCCCGGCGGCCGCCGCGGCAGAGCCGGGAAGCCGGAACCGGGGGCCGGCTGCATTTCTAAGACTGGAGCCGCCCCCGAGCTACTCGGGAAGCTGGAAAGCTGAAATGGAAGGGCTGAGACCCCAGCCGCCCCCGCCGACCGCCCGCCAATGCTAGAAGAAGAGGTGGAGGGGGAGGTCGGGGCTTGGGAGGGGGAGAGGCAGACGGCCCGCCACAAAGCTCCCATCGGAGACCCCAAAACGCACCAGCAGCTGCCTCATCTCCCCACAAGCGCGCGCGCACACTCACTTCCTAAGGAGACTCCCCCACCACTCCCCGCATCCCCTGCCTCCTCCCTCAACCGCCCAGCGCCGGGCCCTGCAGCCCCCCAGATTCCGGGCGAACCCCGAGCCCGCTCAGCCTCTCTCCAACGCCTTTCCCCGCTACCACCTCCCCACTCAAGTGTCTGAGACTCTGAGCCTCACAAGGGACTGGAGGAGTAAGCTGCTTGCTTCCTTTTGCATGCAATTTATTATATTTTTTCCGGTCCTCTTGCAAAATACAGAAAAGGAAAGAAAAGGCAGCAAGAAACAACAACCACTAAAAAAAAAAAAAAAAAAAAAAAAAATAACAATAACAAAAAAAAATTTAAAAAAAAAAAAAAAAAAGCTACACACCAATCTTCTTCCAGAGTCTTTCTCTGCCTCCATTTTTTTAGGAGAGTTCACCAATTAATTGTCAACACTCCTGCCCCCTGCATTTTGGCGGAGGGGGGAAGGAGGGAAGACCAAAGAAAACAAACCAAAAAATAAATAAATAAAGCAAGCCACAGCCGAGATCTACAAAGTTTTGCACCAACACTTAAGCAGATCCGTTTGCAAAGTCCTAGGAAACCATTTTCAGCAGTTGTGGGGGGGGGAGGCGTCGACGTCATAATCCCCGGAACGTAAACATTGTTGCCGATCGCGCTCTGAGCCCGCGGCCGGGCTAGTGGAGGGGGCACTCGGCCCGGGATAGGGGGGGCGGGGGCGGCTGCCCGAGGAGGTGTGGGGCGGGGAGGGCGCCCGGGAGGCACCGGGCGCCGTTAGCGCCCTGGCATCGCTGTTTTGTTGTTGGGTCACGAGTGCGCCTTGCACGCAGGCGCCGCCGCCGCCCGGGAGTTGTGTGCAGAGCTGACTTTTGGAGGGCTGAGTTGCAGGCGGCGGGCGCATCCCGGAGATGGCGGGGCAGGGAGGGAGGGAAGGAGGAGGGGGTGGGGAGGGAGGTGCAGATTTGCACGGCTGGCCTCAGCGGGAGGCGCGGAAATGCAAGCCGAGCTTGCTGGCTAGAAAGCCCCCGAGGGCTGGCACCCCGAAAAACGACCCCCCACCTCAATCCCTGCCCCCATTGCCCACGGTCCCCACGGGCCACCCCTCTTCCTCTTCCTTCATCCACCCCACCCCCTTACCTACGTGGCCGACCCAAATTCAAAGCGCTTTGTATATATAATTTTTTTTTTTCTGCTGCATGTCTTGTTTTTTGGGGGGATGGCGGGGAGCGATCCTCTCCAGACCCCCATATGAGGACCTGCCATATGGAGAAGGCATCTGGGGGCTCAGGAAGAATATAGCGCAGCTCCATACCTGTACGGACTGCATAACTTTTAAACTCCCGGACTCAAAAGATAATGGACCCACACAAACGCAGGTACAGGAAATACATCCAGACCAGAGCCTTTACAGAGCCGAGCTGACCGGAAGACGTTGCCTTTCATTCATTCATCCTGCCCTCGTCTGTGGAGTCCTTCACTAGGCGACGAGCCCTGGAACAGAAGTTGGACAGTTTTAAAAGGTCCCTGCGCTGGCCAAGAGAAGGAAATAGATGCTCAGGAGTGAAACACCGAGAGAATCCGATCTGGCGCCTCCTAACGCAGCTGGCAAGCAGGCGAAGGGTAAGCCCTTATTGGCCGTTTATAGGAGAAAAGTCGGTGGAAAGGTGCAAGGCGCTCTGGGGTGAGGCGCGGGGACCTTTGGGTGCCCCTTGATGAGTTCTTAGGAATTCTTGGCAGAGGGACTGATTCTCTCTTGCTTTCCCTCAGTATACCTGGTTGGCCGTGACCATCCCCAAAAGTGGAATCCTAAAAGCGGCTGTCCTGTAATTAATTCCATTATGAACAACAGTCAGGTCAGCTCTGATTATGAGAAAAGCTGGCCCTAAACATTCCTCCAAGTCCAACTAGGCCTGCTCTTTGGGATAACGATCAGGAGGAGATGAGGACAGGGCACAGCTCCATTAAAAGAACATAGATGCTCATAGCAGTCTTGGCCAAAAAAACCTTATTTTTATTTCTGCCATTAAGCCTCATAGTCATTTTGCAGATAGAGAAACTGAGGCTCAGAGACACGATCGGTCGCGGTGGTTCCTCTGCGCCAAGCCAATATCCTCCCTAGTGGACACACCATTCAGACGTGTGGAGAGGATGTGGCTTCCCCATCAGAGATCGGATGTGAACCATCACCTCTATATTGGTCACCCTAAAAGACAGCTTCCCCCTCACACACCTTAAAGTTTCCTGTCCCGTCCCGTCTTTCTATATTCTTTACCACCCACCCCTAAAAACTGTTTTTTTTAAGTTTGTTTTAATCCCAGTCCTCTAGATGGCAAATACCAAAACTTATTTCAGCTTAGTGGGAATGAGGAGGTTTTGCCCTCAGCCTCTGTCAAGAACCAGGGGCCATCTCATAGTTTCTCTCACAGAAGATCCCTTGAAGAATAAGAGTCTTGTTATAGGACTCATGTTACAAATGAGGAAACCGAGTCTCAGAAAGGCAGAGCCGTTCAAGGCCACAAGCTTGTAAGTGACTTTCATCACAGCCTTTATGGATACTGACCACCTTCCTTGTTCCCACATAATGAAATGAACATGTTCAAAGGAGGGTCTCTGCAGCTGGCAGGTCAGGAAAAGGAAGTTAAGTGCCATAAGGCAAAACCAAAACAGAATGCTTGATCCCAATTCTCCTTTACTCCCAGAGACACTTCTCTCCCCATGTGGCCTCAGGGTGTCCCCAAACGCTGGTGTCAGGAAAAGATCCGATGGCAAGCACCTCAGTGCCAAAAGTTAAGTCCATATATCACCCCAATGGGGAGTTCCTGGCCTGTCAGAGTGCGAAGGGTTTGAGTAGTCACCTAACTTAATCCCTTCTCTTTACAAACCCTGAGGAAACTACAGACCAGAGAGAAGAATGGGCCAACCCGGGTGTGTGTTCCCTCGGACTCCCCCAGAATGCCTACCCTACCTTCTGGTCCTAAGTGGTCACTCAGTAAATGTTGGGCTCTTGATGGATCACCTTCCCCAGCGATATTTGCATTTTCCCTTTATCAGTAATTGGCAGATGAAAGGCTTTGTCCTCCTGTTGAAAGAATTCCAGGCATTTGCTCCAAGTGGGGGAGGAGGTTATTTTGGGCCAAAGGGGGATGGGCCAAGACCCTTGAGCTCCTAGTGCTGGCTAATTGTCCCAGAGGCGTGGGCAGTAGGTGAGAAAGGGGAGGGGAGATGAAGGTGCTTCTCCAAGAGAGGTATTATTTCTTGCAGGGGAAAGGAAAAAAAAAAAAAAAAGACCAGGCCAGTTGTATTTGAAACTTAGTAATAATGACTTCCCGGACCCTCCTTCTCATTCTTACAAAAGACCCAGTCAAACCCTGGCTGTGTTGGCCCCATTCATTCATTTCTTCGTTCATCAAAGGTTGATTGAGCAGCTCTGTGCTTTAGCACACAGGGGATATGGAAGAACCAGTTTTGATTGTAGACATACTCCAGCCTGGACAGGGACTGGACAGACGGCTCCTAGGGGAGTTAGGAATCCCCAAGATTTTAAAAACTGTTAGAAACTGAAGCTGTTCTCACCCTCATACATAATTATAAGAGCTCCGGATTTCTGAGTGCCTACCATGTCTTTAAGCAAAGTCACTCATGTTTGTTACTGTCTTGAATCTTTCCCAAAGCCCTATTGAGGGAGGGTCTATAATTCCCCACCGCTATGGCTGAGGCTCGAAGAGAGGTCAAGGTACTTGCCTAAATTTTACAGCCGTAAAATAAGAGACAGTATCTGCACCCAGGGTTTGCTGGAATCCAGAGCTCACATGCTTTACCACTCACTATGCCCCCTTCGGGGCTGTCCCTTAGGACATGGTCATGGAAACATTCTATGTCTGTGCTGTCCAATGCAGCAGCCTCTAGCCACATGTGGGTAGTGAGATTAAGGAAATGAATGTTAAATTTTATTTAATTTTAATTAAAATTTAAATAGTTGTACATAGCTGGTGTCTGTTATCGGGCAGTGCAACCTTACGGTGTTTTCCAGAATTTGTCTTAACTCACCTACCAGACTAGATACATCTCAGAGTCTGATTTGGCACTGTGTCTCTATAATCAACCTTCTGGAAATATTTGTGGAATGAACGAAGGGACCCTGAGAAAATGAAGTATTGGAATGATGGGTGGGGGAAGGGGACAGGGATGACTGCAAAGGTTTCCTCGAAGGGACCATGTGAATGTTCGCAGTGCTGTTCCTTAAACCACTCACTCTGAGGGTCTGCCAAGAGCTTAGCACGGTGGGCACGTGGGGATACTGGTTAGATACAAGATTGTCCCACCTGCCCGGATCTGACAAATAGACTTTTCAAGGACAGATAAGTGGTGTTGGGACAGGAAGCCTTAGAAATGGGTAACCACTTCCTGATATATATCCTGCTGATAGACACAAAAACAAAGATGCAATCCATTGTAGCCCTGTTTGCAACAGAAAGAGACTGAAAAGGATCCCAAAGTTGGGGAACTGATTAAATAATTCTTGGACCATTTGTCCATTGAAATGTTACCAAATCATCAAGAAGAATAAGGTAGTTCTGTATATACTGATGAGGATGACTTAATGATATCCTTACATTAACACAGAACAGGGGTACCTGGGTGGCTCAATCGGTTAAGCATCTACCTTCCTTTCCAGTCAAGATCTCAAGGTTCTGGGATCCAGCCTGTGTCAGGCTGCCTGTCCAGCAGGGAGTTTGATTCTCCCTCTGCGCCTCCCCCTGCTCATACTTGCTCTCTCTCTCTTTTCCAAATAAATAAAATCTTAAAAAAAAAAAAATTAACACAAAACAGAACAAGGTGCGGAATACTTACAGTGAATTGTGCTGACCACTTACATCAACCAAAGGGGACAAATTTATATCTACATTTATTCTTTTGGATGTACAGGCTTTCTTTGGAAAGAAATAGAACCAAAAAATGGGGGCAGGGGGAGAGACTGGGAAAACAGAAGCGAACGTATTCTTTGGTACAATGTGACATTTTTAACACACGTATGCATTAGAGTTGCCTGACTTGGGACCTTATAGACTTAATTTCATTTTCTAAGGTGTAGTACCTTTTGAATTTTATACTATGTACCTGTATTATCCTGCTCAAACAGGAATTTGATTTTATTCATTCTTTTTAAGACTATAAGTCTCAAAATCAAGTAAATCTAAACCACTAAATATTGTGTGGGTATATATACATAAGAGTAAGGCGCAAGTAAAAGCAAAAGAATGATTAACACAAAGTGCAGAAAAGACTCCACTCTAGAACAGGGAATGTGAACAGAGAAGGGGCGGGTGATTTTCCGTCTCTTAATCTAGATGGTGGGTACCTGAATGTAATTCTTCAAAATGAACTTTAGAATTTTACAAATTCTATTGTATTTCTGAAATATTCCACGACTTAAAAATTGTTTTAAAATTTCTCCCAGTTTTGGGGCTCCTGCCTGGCTCTGTCAGTGGAGCACGTGACTCTTATCGCCTGGTTATTAGTTCGAGCCCCACTTTCGGTGTAGAGATGACTTAAAATAAAAATCTTTAAAAAAAAAATTGCTTTAAGTCTTTCTCCTGTACCTCTGCCCAACCACCCAGTTTCACTCCTTCACAGTCCCACCCCTCGGAAAACTTGTTAGCAATGTCCCTTGGGGATCCTATCAGAAATAGTTTTTGCATTTATACACATCTGTATATTTTCTATTATGACGATGTCACACAAATATACCCACTGTCCTTTCCTTCATCACTTAATACGATCTTGGAGATTTTCCCATATACTATCTGTAGAACTGAATCATTCTAAAATATTAGGTAAGGGTGAGGTAAATCTGAATGTCATGATTCAGAAAAAGTTCAAGATTGGCTAAGAAAAAAAGTCAGAATAATGTACATGTTGTGATCCCATTTAAGTCAAAAAAAAAAAAAGAAGAAGAAGAAGAAGGAAGAAGCATTTCAGTGGACCAGCAAACCATTATGTTTGATCACTTCTGAGGAGAGAGAAAATTTTGAGGGGTTTATACACAGACCATCTCATGCATTACTTGCCCTTTTAAATTTATCAGGTATTTCAAGCATAAAGAAAGGCATCGAAATTAAATATACGAAATATACCAAGGACTTGTCTATTCACCTCCTAGCTTTGCCAAATCCTAGATTTTTGCCATATTTTGTATTATGTTTGCAATTTAAAAAATATTTTGGGGACCCACAGACCATACTTTTTCTATTAGAGTGATTGGCGTTCCCAAAGACCTTTTTTTTTTTTTTTTTATGTTTTAATTTTTTCACCAGTGCTGTGTAGATGGAATTACCAGAGTCAGAGCAGTTTACATATAGCCTGATTGTCTGGCCTTGGGCATTTTGGGAAGACTTCGGGTCTTAAGTTCTGCATCTTCCCGTGCAAGGACCCGAAGGAAACTTGAAAATAACAGGTGAGTTAATTAAGGGGTTAACTCCAGGAGGAGAGTCAGAAAAGTTCAAAGATACTCCGAAAACTTGCATCTTTCGATTGATGGACAAATGTATTAACCAATGGAAATCAAAACCCAGGCATTACTTCATCATGCTAAATTATCATTGGCTGCCAGTCCCCGAGGGCCGGACCGCAGGGCTGGCGGTTAACCCTTTCAGGGATGATTTTTGCCCTCGACATTAATTTTATTTTGAAAGATGAAGTAGGAACAGATGAAAAGCCTAGATAGGTCCTCAGACCTTCAAGTGTCGCCTTTGGATCTCACCCCAGCAGGTAGAGTTTCCCACCCACAAAAGAACACCCCAGGGACAAATTTCCTGGAGAGAAAGTTTTGAACTTTTAAAATGGGGAATCAGCTGACCTTGCTTGGCGAGAAGAGAGGGGAGGGGAGAAGTTTGATTCACTTTTTGTCCTGTCAGAACAGAGACCAGTGTTGGAGACGATTCCATTAATCTTGCAGAGCGATCAGTCACTGAGAGGATTGAATTGCATTTCCTGCCCCAAAGATGTAGAGACCGATGACCTTTGCAGCAGCCCTCAGACCCCCAGTTCACAGCTGGAGAGAGGATGTGTCAGCATTTACTTTCGGGTCTCACCCTGCCCTTTGTTCAAAATTCAAACTCTGTGTTCAGGCTGCTGCCGCCCTGGCCTTTTTGTCGTTGATGCTGCCGATTTTTTTTTTTTTTTTTTTTTTAAACCTCCCACGTCTTGCAACTTCTGAGAAACTCTCTATTTAGCAAAAGATAGTATCTGGAAGTACCCCCAGAGGGGGAATCAAAATAGACAGGAGGGAATTTTAAGAGAGGCCATTGGGCCTCTTAGCTTTCTTTACTGCCCCTTCCTGGGCTCCGCTGCGGGTTGAACGGGATGGAGGCACTGGGTCTACCTGAGTTAACAAGAATGCCTCCTGTGGCCACGGCTCGATTACAAAAAAAGCTTTCACATGCATTACCTCGGGTAAAAAGGAACTGCTGGAACAAAAGCATCTCCATAAAAGGACATTCTAAATTTCCAGATTTGGTGAGCTAGACGACCTTGGACAAGGTGCCCAAACGGAGCCTCAGTTATCCCATCTATAAAATGGGGGTCATGTCTACCATCTAAGAGTTCTATGAGGATTCAATGAACCAGTGTTCTACAACTGGGCGGTTGGTAAATGCTGTCTCTTTGTTAAAATGAAGTCGACCTTCTGGACTTCATATCCCTAACTAGTTCTGGATCTGGATGGGGGGAAAATGTTTTCCTCCAAGGGGAAGGCTTCCTAAGGATGGAATATCCCTGCTTTTCTCTCCAACATCGGTTCTCTCCCCAACAAGCCTTCAAAGTCTGACTGCCCTCAACTCTTTTGAGTTCTTGGAATAAACCTGCTTTCTCTCCCCCAGACCTTTGCATATGGTGATCCTTCCACTGGGAGCAGTCAATCCTGCCTGCCCTCCTCTCCATAGTTCTCACCCTCTTGGAATCAGCTTTGATGTCTTTTTCCTGATCTGCTCATAATGCTTATCATATTATCTTATTGCTGCCTATGCCCTAGGCTCACTGGGAGTCCTGGGAGTGTAGGGACCCTGTCTGCCTCGTGGATGTATCTCCTACCTAGCACGGTGCCAGCACCCAGTGTTTTTTTTTGTTTTGTTTTGTTTTTGTTTGTTTGTTTTTGTGTAGGGTTTTTTGCACCCCATTTAAAGGTACATGTCTAAGGATACCTGTCTGGCTCAGTCAGTAGAGCCTGTGACTCTTGATCTCCGGGTGGTAAGTTCAAGCCCTACACTGGGTATGGAGCCTACTTAAAAAAAAAAAAAAAAAAAGGAAAGAAAAGAGGGGCACCTGGGTGGCTCATTGGGTTAAAGCCTCTGCCTTCAGCTCAGGTCATGATCCCAGGGTCCTGGGATTGAGCCCCACATCAGGCTCTCTGCTCAGCAGGGAGCCTGCTTCCTCCCCCCCTCCCCCACCGCCTGCCTATCTGCCTACTTGTGATCTCTGTCAAATAAATAAAATCTTAAAAAAAAAAAAAAGAAAAGTGCCTTTCTAATGAGAGTCCTGAGTCCCTACTATGCCTCCCTTAGTCCCCAAATTCCTCACCCTTCCAGAGATCTAGGAGTAACAGTACTGAGATCTTTCTTTTTTCCTAGCTAGCCATTATAACATCCTTTGCAGATGGAATCTGTGGCTTTTGCCCTCCTTGAAATGACCTTCATTAATTGACCCTTTGATTACTGAGTAGCACTCAGATACACACAGAGCGCTCCCTTTGTAGGAAAGCCTCCTCTTCACCCCATAGCATCTTTTCAGGGCAGAGAGCAGGCCTTTCTCCCTGGTGAGGCTAGGATGGACAGTTGGCTCTTAACCCCAGCCCAAGGAGAGAAATCTGAAACCAACCCTTGCAAACTGAGAGCAGGTGAGTTTGCCCAGTTTACCCTAGCGCAAAACTCTCATTCAGAATACTTCTCACAATTATAATAAAATACGAAAGTGTTAGCAGCCCATTATCTGGGTCTCTCTTTAAAAGGAAAGGTCCCTGGGGCGTCTGACTAGCTCAGTCCGTAATGCACAGGACTCTTAATCTCAGGGTCGCGAGTTCAAGCCCCACTTTGGGTTTAGAGATTTTTTTTTTCTTCAAGATTTTATTTATTTGACAGACAGAGATCACAGGTAGACAGAGAGAGAGGAAGGGAAGAAGGCTCCCTGCTGAGCAGAGAGCCCAATGCGGGGCTCAATCCCAGGACCCTGGGATCACAACCCAAGCTGAAGGGAAAGGCTTTAACCCACTGAGCCACCCAGGCACCCCTAGAGATTATTTTTTTAAAAAACATTTTTTTTTTTAGGAAAAAAAAGGAAAAGTCCCTGAGGTGACTGACCTTGGTCTTATTTACTGCTTATCCTCAGCCCCTAGGGCCTGGCTCATAAAATACTTAATCTCTCGAATGAATGAATGAATTTGTCCAAGGAATGAATTCCTCAAACTCCCAAATAAGTGTATTTTCAGCTTGATTAAATCTTAAAGTGTACCTCTTTGAAAAAGTTGCAAAGATTCTAAGAGGCCCTCTTAAAGTGCAACAATGTGAAGTTGTTCCTCGGGGAGGTGGTAATCGACCTTTCTAGTTCCAAAGCCCAGGTTCTCCCCTACTCTTTTCCAGACTGCATCCCAGATCCACGAGATCTGCTGGGCAGAAACCGAGGGAGCCAGCTGTCATCGCCCGCAGCTGAGGCCTGAGAACGCGCACCCTGCGTGCTCGCCGCGGACCCCCTTGTCTGGGAGGCCGCTATCTGCACGTGAGCTGGGCTTCCCCAGGGCGAGGCGACATATCATGGTCACTTGCCACTTGCTATCCCAGCTTAAGGGCCTGGAGTCCCGACACCCGGAGCCGAAGGGGGCGGGGCACAGAGCGGGCTGTGGGGGCGGGGCAGGGGCTGGTAGGCACCCCCAGAATAACCTCCTGTGCCTTAGACTTCTGCTCCCTAACTCGGGAATCTATTCGTCAGCCTGCACCTTGACATCAACCTCTGCATCCGCGTCTCCCACCGCTAATCGTGCTTAATGTCTGCTCTGGGCACCGCCAGGACCGGTCAGCATAATTTTGGGAGTCCTCACTCGCCTGGGTCAACTTACCCGCCTGCTCGAAAAGTTGGATGCTCCTTCCAGAGTCCCGACTTCTCAGCCTGGGAGCTGTGTGCTGTGGATAAGTGACTTCACCAAGTGAATCTCATTATCATTTCTACGGTGGGAAAATAATAGATGTTTGGGAGAATGAAATGAGACCACAGAAACCCCAGTCATTACGCGCCGTAGTTCCCTTTTCTGCTTTCGTTTTCTCTGTAGCACTGGTCACCATATATCACATTTTATTTGTTGTTTTCTCCTCCCACTAGGATGACAACGCCACAAAGTAGCAATTTTAATCTCTTTTGTCCACCTCTGTAACCCCACACATGTCAATTAGAGCTTGGCCCACGAGATTCTCAGTAAATATTTGTTGAATAAATGAATGGATGATATAAAGTGACTGGAGCTCAGTAAGTACCCCATCATGGGGTAGCTATTGCTAATTTATTATTGTGATTAAGTACTCTGTCTCGGGAGTCCAACTGAAAGCAGTATAATAAGGGAGGGAGAAATTTAGCATCATGGTAGGATGTTGGCATTCTGGCTGGGAAATCCTGTCGGCTCCATTTACTAGCTGTGTGATCTGGAAGAAGTGACTTCACTTATCTAAGGCTGTTTCCTCACCTGTAAATGGAGGTAATCACAGTGCCTCCCTGGTAGGATACGAACATAGGATAAGATGGTAATGGTAAAGCATTTAGTAGAGTGACTGCCGCATAATAAATGCTCAATAAACAATGATCAGCATTCCTCATTATAGTAGTACTCACACTAGAGGTGACATCTAAGTCAATTAAACCATTGCTAAGCACTCACATATGTCCGGGTCTAGCAGGCTCGATAAATGTTTATTGACCTCCCTCCGTGAGCTCCTCAAGGAAAGAGATTGTGTTTACATTGTCCTGATTTTGGCCTGCAGTAGGTAGACTGAGACATGCTCCAAAAAATCACATTCTGGACTCAAATATGAGTAAAAACGTAGAACAGCTACTAGATTCATAATGCCCGTGGCCTACTAGGTGCCAGGCACAGTGTTGGATGCTGGAGATATGGCAACAAGCTTAAAACAAACATGGTGGCTACCCCTTTCAGGCTGGTGAAACTTCGCAGAGTTGACTGACTTTGTGTCGATCGTTGCACAGACAGATGGAACATTACAACTGCGAAGTGTATCACAACAGAGAGGGACACAAGGCTCTGGGGTATATAATGTGGGCCTGGAGAAGATGGGGTTGACCTGGGCTGGGCTTGAGGAGGGAAGAGCTGAGCGCTGCGGAAAGAAGAGGTCTTAGCTAGGCTGAGAGTAGGGGAAGTGTTCTCAGCAGAAAAAATAGCAGATGTGAAGGTCTCGTGATGGGGGAGCATATGAGCTAAAGGAACTGAAAGAAGGCCTAGTGATCCCAGTACAGTGAACTGAGGGCAGGGGCCCGGGGAGAAATCAACTGGGAAAGTAGGTCAGCACTTTGGAAATTAAGTGGGCCATGTATATGGTAAAGCAGAAGGAGTGTGCAACCTGGAATCCAACAGTTCCAGTTCTAGGAACATTCTAGAAAACTAGCCACGAGGGCCCCGGGAGGCATGAGCGAGGATGTCAGCCCGCGCTGCATTATATGCAGTCTCAAAAAAATGGGATTTACATGACTTGTCCCCCCCCCCACTCTTATTTCCCTCTGTTTCCCCAGCATTAAGCATTGGGGCTTGTCCCTCTAGGGGTCAAAACATTGTTGAAGAAATAAACAAAGGTGAGACTATGATAGGGTAGTTCAGCCCAGCCCCGGGGCCCCTGACATCTCTGGTGGGCGATCCATCCATCAGGAAGATTGCATCAGAACTTCCAATAAGGAAGTGGCTGGGTGGCTCAGTGGGTTGAGCCTCTGCCTTTGGCTCAGGTCGTGATCTCAGGGTCCTGGGATCGAGCCCTGAATCGGGCTCCCTGCTCAGTAGGGAGCCTGCTTCCCCCTCTCTCTCCGCCCGCCTCTGCCTACTTAAGATCTCTGTCTGTCAAATAAATAAATAAATAAATAATGGGAAACAACCCAACTGTTCGTCAACAGGAGAGTGGTAAAAATTGCAGAATATGTTTTCCTCAGGTTCCTCAGGAAAGTCTGAATGAAAAGTTAACGTAGTACTGGGATGCTTGGTTAAGTGTCTGCCTTCAGCTCAGGCCATGATCCCAGGGTCCTGGGATCGAGCCCCACTTCGGGCTCCCGGCTTGGCAGGAAGCCTGCTTCTCCCTTTCCCTCTGCTGCTATGCGGGCCCTCTCTTGGTCTCTCGCAAATAAGTAAAAATAAAACTTAAAAAAATTTTTTTTAAATAGGGCAACCTGTTGGGACCCTTCTCACTCTTGATAGCCTTTTCCGTATCTTCACTTAATAAACTTCTGTTGCTTTACTCACTCTGTGTTGTCTGAGAGATTCATTCTTCGACTCTGTGAGACAAGAACCTAGCTGTCCCGCTTCATCTCCATGCAGAAACCTGGGATCACGTCCAGCGAAGGATAAGTAAAAGTGGGCTCTTTCCTGGGAGACGTCTCTCCCTTAGATGACCTCTTCTCCGAAACAGCAAAACTGGGGACCTGCTGGCCAATTAAAGGTGAATAGTGTGGCCACCAGGCTTAAGTCTCAGGTGACAGGCTTCTGGCCAAAGTTTGGTTAATCCCCCTTCCTCAAAAGAAGGGAATGTTGGCCTAACCCTACCCAGTTCTGCTTTCTGTGCATTGGCTTTTCTTCAATGGCTTTCTCCCACCTCAGGGACTTTGCCTGTAGTAGGGTCCTTCCAGTCTCTAGTGGTCAGTATTTAAATTCCCTGGTTAGCTTTCTATAAAAGACCAACCCTAAAGGCTCTCACTGGCAACCCTGTCCGGGACCCCTCTCACCTTTGAGAGCTTCTTCTGTATCTTCACTTAATAAACTTATATCGTTTTACTCACACACGCAAAAATAATAATAATAAAAATTTATAAATAAAAAATAAAGAAATATGGAACTTCACAAGCATGTCATCTTTTTTTTTTTTTAAGAATTTATTTATTTGGGGCGTCTGGGTGGTTCAGTGGGTTAAAGCCCCTGCCTTCGGCTCAGGTCATGATACCAGGGTCCTGGTATCGAGCTCCGCATCGGGCTCTCTGCTCAGCGAGGAACCTGCTTCCTCCTGTCTCTCTGCCTGCCTCTCTGCCTACTTGTGATCTCTGTCTGTCAAATAAATAAATAAAATCTAAAATCGCACCACAAATAAAGTCTTTTTTAAAAAGAGTATTTAGGGGCACCTGGGTGGCTCAGTGGGTTAAGCCTTTGCCTTCGGCTCAGGTCATGATCTCAGGGTCCCGGGATCGAGCCCTGCATCAGGCTCTCTGCTTGCGGTGAGCCTGCTTCCTCCTCTCTCTGTCAAATAAATAAATAAAATCTTTAAAAAAAAATAAAAAAAAAATAAAAAGAGTATTTATCTGAGAGAGAGAGATCTTGAGAGGGGAGAGGGTCAGAGGGAGAAGCAGACTCCCCACCAAGCAGGGAGCCTGATGTGGGACCCAATCCTGCAACTCCAGGATCATGACCTGAGCTGAAGGCAGTCGCTCAACCAACTGAGCCACTTAGGCTCCCAATCATGTCATTTTTACGCAGGGACCATTCTAATCTTCTCTGAATTGTCTCAATTTTAGTGTATGTACTGCTGAAATGAGCAGGTTTTTTATCATTGCAGCAAATCCATATAGCATAGGATTGGTCACTTAAATCATTTTTATTTTTTTTAAAGATTTTATTTATTTATTTGAAAGAGAGAGATCACAAGCAGGCAGAGAGGCAGGTAGAGAGAGAGGAGGAAGCAGGCTCCCTGCTGAGCAGAGAGAGCCCGATGCGGGGCTCCATCCCAGGACCCTGAGATCATGACCTGAGCCAACGGCAGAGGCTTTAACCCACTGAGTCACCCAGGCACCCCACTTAAATCATTTTTAAAAGATTTTTTTTTATTCATTTTAGAGAGGGAGAGAGAACATGTATACATAGGCAGGGGGTGGGGCAGATGGAGAGGGAGAGAGAGAATCTTAAGCAGGCTCTATGCCCAGCACAGAGCCCAATGCAGAGTTCAGTCTCACCACCCTGAGATCATGACCTGAGCTGAAATCAAGAGTTGAATGGATGCTTAACCAACTGAGTCACCCAGATGCCCTAAAGATTTTTTTTTTAAGATTTTATTTATTTAGGGACGCCTGGGTGGCTCAGTTGGTTAAGCGGCTGCCTTCGGCTCAGGTCATGATCCCAGCGTCCTGGGATCGAGTCCCACATCAGGCTCCTTGCTCAGCGGGGAGCCTGCTTCTCCCTCTGCCTCTGCATACCACTCTGTCTGCCTGTGCTCATGCTCTATCTCTCTCTCTCTAACAAATAAATAAATAAAATCTTTAAAAAAAAAAAGATTTTATTTATTTATTTGACAGATTGAGAGAGCACAGTAGGCAGAGTGGGAGGGAGAGGGAGAAACAGGCTCCCCGCTGAGCAGGGAGTGCATCAAGGGGCTTGGTCCCAGGACCCTGGGATCATGACCCCAACGGAAGGCAGATGCGTAAACAGCTAAGCCACCCAGGTGCCCCTAACGGTTTTATTTTTAAGTAATCTCTACACCGAGCACGGGTCTCGAACCCACAACCCCGAGATCAAGAGTCTCATGCTCTACCGACCAAGCCAGCCAGATACCTCCATTTAGATAATTTTTATGGGTACAGTTCAGTGGCATTAGGCGCATTCACATTCACTTCGTTCTGCAACCATCACCACCATCCAACTCTAAAACCTTTCCCTCATCCGTCTCAGTTAGCCTTGGCTCCTGTAACAAAATACATATACAGGTGGCTTAGGCATCAGGTATTTTTTTTTTAAGATTTTATTAATTTATTTGACACAGAGAGACAGCGACAGAGGGAACACAGCAGAGGGAGTGGGAGAGGGAAAAGCAGGCTCCCCACGGAGCAGGGAGCCCGATGCGGGGCTCGATCCCAGGACCCCAGGATCATGACCTGAGCTGAAGGCAGATACCCAACGACTGAGCCACCTAGGCGCCTCAGCATCAGGCATTTATTACAATTCCAGAGGCTGGGAAGTTCAAGGTCAAGGTGCTGGCAGATGTGGTGTCAGGGAGGGCCCTCTTCCTCATAGATGGTCATCTCCTCTCTGTAACCTCATACGAGGAATGGGAGCTATCTAGGGACCGTTTTATAAGGGCACTGATCCCATCAAGAAGGTCCCACTCTCCTGGCCTCTAATGGGTTTTTGTTTTCTTTAATTTGAGAGAGAGAGCATGAGAGAGAGGACAAGGGGGGTGCAGAAGGAAAAGCAGACTCCCAGCTGAGCTGGGAG